CCTGCTTTCCACTGCTCCTCCACCTGTACCACATCCTCAACTGTCCAGGGTGTTTGATACCTGCTCCTCCCACAGACACTCCAGCAAGTGAAAGGAGGGCTGCTTCAGACTCCTGAGGCCTGGGCGAGTTTTCTCAGCTCAGGATTATCTGTGCTGTGGCCAGAATTATCGGGACCTTACATAATCAGAATCTCCTTTTCCTTGAATTGCCCACTTGTGATATTTACTGAATTATTTCAAGAAATAGCACTGTCCCAAGGGATCCAGTAAATGGTAACAACTTGATAGGTCCTAAAAATGTAAACTATTAAATTTTTTAATAAAAATTAAAACAGCTCTTAAATTAATGTGTGCTTCATTTACATACACCAGAAAAATTTATTTTTGGCGCACTTTTAACATGGGCAAAGATATTTGGAAGCAGTTAGGTTATCACTGTGATCATCTTCCAAGGTGGGAAACTGCTGGAAATTTTACTGGGTAGGCACAGTGACTTTCCCAGGGCTTACGTTCACTGCATTTCCTTTTAAAGCAAAAGTTGGATACTCCTCTGCTTGTGCTACCTTCCCCAAAATGCTACCACAGGAGGAAATTGAGAGAGCTGTTACGGAAGAAGAAAAGAAAGGACATTTCGTAAATCAAGAAAATAAAACCTCTCTCATTTTGAATGCCAGTAGGAAATAATCTTGAACTTGGTGGTGGGCAGAGAGCCTAGTTCCTTTGGTTACACAAACTTGTCTTCCCTTCCAAGGCAACATACAACAATAACTTTATCAGTATTCTGACTTCTTTCAAATATCCCTATGGTGTAGGTGCTTATTCCCAGCCTCGGCACCATTGACATTTCAGGTCGGATACTTTGTTGTGGGGGCTGTCCTGTGCACTGTAAAATGGCTTCCACACACAGGATGTTGGTAGCACACCCTCTCTTCCCCCAACCAGTTGTGACAACCAAAAATGTCTTCAGACATTTCCAAATATCCCTGGGGGAAGCAGGGGAAAGGGCAAAATATGCCTGGTTGAGAACCACTGGTCTAGGCTACTTAGCATGTGTATTCCTACATATATGTACATATACATGTCAATAAAGAAATACATAGTTTCAATTGTTAAAACTTGCTAAATCTGTTGACATAACTCCAATCAAACTAAGTTGTGTTTAACGGTTGATTACAATTGGAAACTCACATAAAGAACACATTTCCAAAATTTGATATTTATTCTTTTCAAAGTCTCTGCTCAAGCATATTCAATTTATTTTCCAACCCAACCAAAACAACTTGAGAAACAAGGCAGATTTTACTTTATTTCCACTGTGTTTCACATAATTCCTTGGATGAGTTTGGATTGTGTTGAGACACATTATACAAGCCAATTAGAATAATTACGCCCTGCATTCCTGGTGCTTTTCAGTTTACAAAGCACTTTCACATACCTTACCTATTCTGATTCTGATAATAATCTTATGATACTGACAGCAGAAAGTTAATATTCCCACTTCAGAGGTGAGGAAACCGAGGCTCATAGAGCTAACATGGTGGCCCAAAGTCATTTTGTTATTTGCGGGCCAAGGAACAGGGTCCAAGCATCCTGACTTCTAATTCAGGCTCATTTTACACTATATAAAACCTCACACTTTGAAATTTTAAAGTATAGTCTTTCAAAAGTGTTAACTCCTTTATTGAGATATGATCTAGCTTATTCTTTCAGAACTATATAACATGCTGAAACTGTAAACAACTTTGAAAAGAGATCATGTTTTTGTCAGAAAACTAGCAGGGTGACTCATTCAGTGTGCAGTGATATTGAACACACAGATGCCATTTTGCACAGTCACTTTGGTAATTATAACCACATTTAAACCAATAAAGTGTACTTCCTAAAAACGGTATGTAGTATTTTGATTTTGTCAACTCCTAACCATCAGATCTCTTTTTTGAAAAGAGTTATAACCAACGCTCTTTTGAAATCAAGGTTAGTAACCTTAGAACTTAAAAATGAAATAAAGACAACAACAAAAAACATCTACTTGGATAAATATATTCCTTACTTGCCTGGAAAATTTCTTTATTATTTTAGATGAGTCTTCCCACTCTGTAAATTGTATAGATATATGAACTCCTTTCTGGCATTCCCAGAATCAGAGAATTTTGAAGAGCCAGAAAAGAAACACTACATCAGAGACAACAAACAAAAATAGAGGAAATACTACCTGGGTCTTCACATTTGGAAGAACCTACAGGAAGTAGTTGAGTTTGCTTTGGAATAAGAAACTTAAACATGAATCTGAAGGCTGACCATTTTATTATTTATTTAATTTATTTATTTATTTATCTGTCTATTTATTTATTTATTTATTTGTATTTTAAAGGTTGACCATTTTAACCATGTGTTAACTGTAGCTTTCTCTTTAATATAGAGCGGTTATCTATTCTATTATGTTATTCTGGGCCCACCTAGCAATTAATCCAGTTGCCCAGGTTCCCAGGAGCACGTGTGCAATTTCTGCTTACAAAGGACCTCCAATCTTTACACAAGCCATAAGGGAAACAGATTGTGCACTTCCTCAGAATCCCAAGGCAATGCCCACACTCCTCCCCAAAGAACACAGGCAAGTTAGTCTACTTCCTGCCCCTGCTTAAACCTGGAGCAGGACTGGGAGAAAGTCCACTTTCCAAAGTCAAATTCAATGATGCTGAGTTGGAATAAAGGAAACTGGTCCTTTACTAGGATTTCTTTCTCATCAGTTTCTCAGCATCAAGGAAGGTAAAGTTACTTTGTGCCTCTCAGTTACTGATTTTTTTCCACCTCTATGGAATAGCTGAACATCAGTCAAGCAAATTGTAAGTGTTTAACTTTTAGGGAAACAATTTCCTAGTATGAAAGATAAACATTATAAACTTGAGGCAAATGACTCGGAATTTTGGAAGTTGGTGAAAAATTTTTTCTCATGCCTTGTGCCCAAGTGGTCAGTTTTTATTGCTATCATTTTCTTCAGAATTAACTGGGCCTGTCTTCCATTCTGTTACCAGAATCCTAGAAAACAGACTGGGTCACTAAGGGCCAACTGTCCTCATTGTTCAGCAACCCAACTCCCAGGAGTCACTTTACAAATATTCCACAATATCTGGAACAGGAATCACTAACTTTAAGAGGCTGGCCTGAAACCTAAGTAACAGCCCCAACCTATCTGTGTGTCCCTGACTCCCTGGCATTGAGCTCCTGCTCCCCCGAGTGCATGCACTTTAGTGTTTTTATTTGCGCAACTGATAATTCAGAATAAATCCTCAAACGTGTTTTTAACACACACACACACACACACATACACACACACACACACACACACACACACACGAGCTCTACACTCTTTGACCAACATTATGCCACATCCCACACATCCTCAGTACAGATCTGAGATCCTTAACAACCAAATTAGCCAGTCTGATCAGGGATGAGTCACTGATTTGCAAAAGTTTAGGGTTTGAGGTCTTTGCCAAATCGGGCACGTGTCCACCCAGGCCTTGGGGCAGCACCCTTTTCTGTTGGATCAGCACCCAGAGAGAAGTTGCAGCCCGGGACGTTGCCGGGCCTGGTAGACGAATTCATTCGCGCCCCATAGCAAGGTCAAGTGGCCGGACAGCCAAGTCAAGGGTCCCAGGAGCCTCCCTTGAGTCCCTGGGCAGTACACCCTGTGTGCTGGGTTATGAGACTTGGTTTCTAATACCAAGCTTGAGCGTCCACCTCCACCACGCTCTCGCAGGCGGATTCCGCTGATTCCGAGGCGGCCCAGCGGCGGGAGGGCGGGACGCGTGGCTCAGCCTCCTGGACGCCACAGGGGTGCCCTCTGCCCACGCCCGGTGTCCGCGGACACACCCATCCTCCCCCAGGAAGTGTATGTGAAGGCTTTGTGAGACGTTGCTAACTTTACCTGAACCCCTTCTCTTGAAGGGTCAAAGACTATGGACCCTTGCCCAGACAGTGCCCACTGCTCTGCTCGGGGCTCTCCAGTTGTCGGTCCCACCGACAGCCAAGCCCCTCCTCAAGCCCCCGCCCGAGCCCTCCGAATGGGGCCGCGCACCGAGCACCGCCCCAGCGCCCTCGCCCCTGCCCGGCCCGAGCTGCCAGCAGGTCGGGTCTCCGTGACCCGTAACCCGGGTCCCAGCGCCACTCACCCACTCACCCCACGCCTCGACACTCGCTCGCTCGCTCCGGGTGTGGCTCCTGGTGTGGCTCCCGGTGAGATCTCACTGCCCCTGATGGGGCGGCGGCTCCGTGCCTCAAATACGCCCGGCCGGCCCGCCTCTCCCGGGGCGGGGCACCGCCCTGCCCACCCGGCCTCTCCCTGCGGCACGGGCTGGGCGAACCCAGGGCGCCGCCGGGCGCAAAAGACACCCTTTGGCCTAAAGAGAAGGTGGGTGGGACCCTGAAGGGCGGCCCCTACCCGCGCTGCCTCCAGTTGCCCCTCGGCCCGGAAACCCCGGGACCTGGAAGGTGGCCGCGTTCACCACGCTTTTCCAGATGCACCTAACTCCTCCGACGGAGATAGGGAGAATCTACGAAGCTTGCAGTGTGTGCTTCTTTAGGGAGTTTTGCTTGCTTTAACGGTGTTTCCTTATTTTCTGCCTGAATTGCAGGTGCTCTCATGACTTCTGCATTTACTTTACCCAAACCCTCTCTCAGACTTATCGTCTTGTAACAAGACTTACGAATAATTAACTAGGCAGTAGTCCCCAACCCTTATATCCTCCTGGGAACTATACCCCTGGTGACTAATTGGTTCACTACGCTAGACTTAAAAGATCCATTCTTTTCCATCCCTCTCAGATTACAATCCAATTTCTTTTTGCTTTTGAATGGGACTCCCCCAACGAGGTCCACCAGCAACTTATCTGGACAGTACTTCCCCAGGGATTCCGGGACAGCCCCCCACTTCTTTGACTAAGCCTTAGCTCAAGATTTACAAGACTCACAACTTAAGGAGGGATCCATTTTACAGTATATAGAAGATCTCCTTCTCTGTTCTACTTGTGACAATGCTATAGAACATGCCATTCAGACCTGAAATTTCTTAGCCACCGGAGGCTATAGGGTTTCTTAATCCAAGGCCCAAGTAGTCCAGCAGAAGCTCTCCTATGTGTAGGTCATACTGACCCCTCATACCCAGAATCTGTCTTTAGAAAGAGTCCAAGGAATTATACAATTACCAGACTCGACCACTTGAAAACAGCTAAGAGCATTTTGGGGACTCACTGGGTGCTGTAGGCTATGGATTCCCAACTATGGCCTAGGGGTCCAACCCGTCTATGACAGCTTAAAGGTAAAGGATGACTCAGACTTCGTTCCATGTGGGCAATCACAGCAGGTGGCTATTCAGAAAATTAAAGATTTACTCATTATAGCTCCTGCCCTAGGATTCTCTAATCCATCCAAGCCATTCCAACTATATATGAATGAAAGGAACAGCATTGCTATTGGAGTCCTTACCCAACTGTTAGGGCCCACATGTCAACCTACAGGTTACTATCAAAGCGATTAGATCCCACTGTCTAAGAATTCTGGGAACTCTTTCTCTTCTTGTTGAAAAGACAACTTTCAGTTCACTCTAGGGGCTCCTATCCAAGTTTATGCAAACCATCAAGTCTCAAGTTTATTACAAGGTAAGAGCCACTTTTGGTTAACTGACAGTAGACTTTTAAAACACTAGGCTTTACTTTTAGAAAATCCTTGTTTAACTATATCTACTTGTGGAACCTCGAACCCAGCAACCTTATTGCCATCTCCTGATGAGGATACTCCTTTCCATTCCTGTTAAGAAACTCTTTCCTCTCCTCCAGCCCCAGGACTGACTTAACTGATCAACCTCTAGAAAATCTCGATAACATCTGATTCAGAGACAGGAGTAGCTTTATGGCTGATGGTAAGAGGAGGGCCTTAGATCTTCTGACAGCAGGACAAGGGGGAACGTGTTTACCTCAAAGAGGAATGCTGTTTCTATGTCATCCGGTCAGGCCAAGTTTCTACATCTATCCAAAAACATCCTCAGATCTGTGGAAAAGATAGAACACCTTGGCGTTGGCACTCTTGCCAACAAATGACAGTGGTGGTTACAATCCCTTCTTCTACTGCTCGTCATTCCCCTAATCTTACTTTTTATTCTCTTCCTCCTGAGACCACTCTTTCTAAACCACCTTGTCCAACTTTTATCTTCTAGAATCCAGGCAATTCATCTCCGGATGGTTCTCCAATGATGATATTCACCCAATCCAGATAGTCAACAAATCCTATACCATACTGAGACCCTTAGATGAATATTGACAACCTTCGTCTCCAGTGGACAGAGAGCAAGTATAGGGACCCAATCCTCTACCTTCACCCCTTCTCAGCCTGAAGTAGCTAGAGCGGTCATCACCTCAAAATCCCAATGATTTCGGTCTCCTAATACTTGAGTGGGGAAATGTTAGGCGGAGAGACAAGAGCGATGGGGGAATGAAGGCCCAATCCAGAGACCACCCTTAGGATCTCCCCAAAACACCCATTTTACGGTTATAAATTACCATTACATCCTAGAATTCAAAGAAGTAAAAATTACAAAAATAACTGCCAGTTTAGTCCAACCACAAGCGCTTGTGCAGTTAGTACATACACTGAACTTCCTTAGCCTCATTATACCATCTTTGTAATAGCATACATATGCCCGGAAGTTCATAAATCTAATTAAAACAGACTGAACTCTGGGTAACTGCATGCACAATCGACAAGGGGTCATATAATGTCAATCAATTGACTTCACATGCCTATCATCTAGTGCTACCCCTGTAACCACCTATCAAGGGCCAATATAAGGTACACTTCCCAAATTCTTCAGGGCTATGGCCATCTCTGGTGTAGCCCATTTTTCTTTTGAAATATACTTTAATGAATCTTACTTTTCCTGAGTTTCACTGATCCGTAATTCTTTACTGCGTTGGAGGAAAGAACAGAGCTCTTTCAGCACCCTCCAGCGGCAACATCAGCATCAGAGCCTTCCCAGGAAGTGCACAGTGACTTGTGTCACTGGGAGGACCTGTCCAGTTTTCTGAGATGCTGGGTGAAATGCTCCTATGTTATTGGCCTTGCATTCATTCCTTTTCTGAACTATGATGTGGATACATATCTCTCAGAATGAGAGCTAAATTATTTTGCTGTTTGCTCCCTCTGCATCCCCAGCATCTACCCAGTGTTTGGTGTGTAGTAGGTTCTCAGTAAATATTTGCTTTGTGAATGAATAAACAAAATAATGAGCTACTTTTTAGAAAGTCTAACTATGTTTTCACAAAGATTAGGGGAAGTCCTGATGGAGGGAACAGTTAAATACAAAAGTAACTTTGGCAAAGACAAGAATAGGACAAAGCTGTTAAAACAAATAGGAAAGGCTGTTAAAACAAATATCGATGCTTTTGAGAGAGGTCGTATTTAGTATTTGGTATAATTTGTCTGGGTAACAGCTGAGTGAAATGGTCAAGGATGTCCAAGACGGAATTTTTTTAAAGTTCAGATATCCATTCATGAAAATTACCTTGAAGTGGATTAAAGACTTCAATGTAAGCCTTGCAAACATAAAATTCCTAGAAGAAAACAGGGAGAAATTTCCTTGACATTGGTCTTAGCAATGATTTTTTTTTTTTTTGGATATGATACCAAAGCGTAAGCAACAAAAGCAAAAAGTTTGATGGGACTACATCAAACTAAAAAGCTGCACAACAGAATGAAAAGGCAACCTACAGAATGAGAAAGAAGTTTGGAAACTATATATCTATAGAGGTTAATCTCCATAATATGTAAGGAACTCATAAATTCAACAGCCAAATAATAATCCAATTAAAAAATGGGCTAGGGACCTGAATGGACATTTTTCCAAAGAAGAAATGCAAATTGCCAACAGGTGCACAAAAACGTATTCAACAGCAGTCATCATCAGGGGAATGTAAATCAAAACCACAGTGAGATATCACCTCACACTTGTTAGAATCACTATCATCAAAAAGATAAGACATAGATGTTAATGAGGATATGGAGAAAGGGAACACTTGTGCACTACTAGTGGGAATGTAAATTATGCCATTAAGGAAAACAGTATGGAGGTTCCTTAGAAAGTTAAAAGTAGAACTATTATATGATCCAGCAATTCTACTTCTGGATATATATCCAAAGGAAATGAAATCACTATCGCAAAGAGATATTTGCACCATGTTCATTACAGCATTATTCACAATAACCAAGACATGGAAACAACCTAAATGTCTGTTGATGGGTGAATGGATAAAGAAAATGTCACACACACACACAGGTAATTATGCAAGGTGATGGATGCGTTAACTAACTTTATTGTGGTGAATATTTTACTATATATATCAAAAAATAAGGTTAGATATTAATAACAGCTAATAGTCATCAAAAATCTATTATGTGCCTTTTACTATATCTAGTGCTTTATGTACCTATATGTGGGTAGGTATTTTTATCCCCATTTTAAAGATGAAAAAACTGAGGCACAGAGAACTAAATATGACCAAAATCACAACATAGATCAAGTTGAGAGTATATTAAGATCTGAGAAATCAGTGTTTGAAAATGGGATATTTGCCATTGAACAGGTTGAGGCAAAGAACAAAACTGGAAGGAAAGAAGGAAGGAAGGAAGGAAGGAAGGTACACTGGAACCTTCCTGCTCGATTGTCCTTCGGGGACACCGTGAAAGTGACTTGAATTAGCTCCCTTGGGATTTGGTGAGGGAGGGAGGAGGAAGGAGAGGGAAGGGGAGTGGGGGAGGGGAGGAAGAAAGAAAGAGAAAAAACACCAACTTGCCACCAGATTCGATAGATTTAGAAACTGGAGTCTTTCAGAAATGGAAAGAATAATTGACCACGAAGTGAAATTATCTCTGAGAGAACAGAGGAGTCACTATCTCATTCCAGTTTCAATTCTGAGGAAGAGTTTCCCATCCCACACTGAGATTCTGTGTCCAGCTGATAGCATGTGTGAGAAAGCCTCTGTATCTGCTCAACCTATGTCTGAGAGCTTTTGGATTTGGGGCTAGAAGAGGAAGGGATTCAGTGTTAGAGAGTGGAGTAAGGGCAAAGGACTAAGGAAGGAATATCAGAACCAATCTCAGTCCAGTCTCTTTGCTGGGTTGGAGGCCCAGGGAGAGAAGAATGGGGCTGTCTTTGTGAAAGCTTTGAGAGAAGCTGCACAGAGGCCCAAGTGACAAAATATAGGCCTCTGGTGTGAGGCAGCCCTTCTTCCCCCTTCTGCACTCATCCCAGGGCAGTGCTGGCTCTTT